ATCAGATCTTGACGTTTTGGACTATATGACGGGGTTTTATTGTACTGTCTTGAATGCACCGATCAGTTGTCATAAATTACGATTGAATTTAAGGGGAGGGATGGCATTAATTGTGTTTCCAAATATTCTTCAAAAATCTCTGCAGTAATAGTTACGTTAGGTTTAATGTATTCAGCGTTTGACACAAACTCCTCGACACCTCCACAATGAATAACATTATATTTGTTTCCCTTTCCAATCGGTTTATTAATCTTTTCTTTCTTATTGTCATCCTTTGGTTGCAGTGTTTTGCGTTGTATACAGTTTTTATGGATATGTGTCTCGTCTATCTAGACCTCCAATGGCTGGGGTTCGGGTGCGTCCGTAAAGTATGTCTTCTCTAACCGCATCTTTTCAATCAAGTATAGTTTGATTAGATTTTGCACTCTGTATTAATGAGCTCTTGTCGTATGATTTCTTTAGTCAATGAGTATTTGTATCCCATTTTCTTAATTAGTTTATAAAACGTGTCTATTTTACACGTTTTGAATGAAAGCTCACATTCAGGTTCGGTTTGCTTCACATATTTATAGACGTCATTAATGAACACACCTTGATTTTGTTTAAACAAATACAATATAATTTGGTCAATAACTTCAAAATCATTGTCATTAATAGTATATTTAACTGAAATGCCTTTCTTTCGGCCCCTCTTTTTGGCAGGTATTGCACCGTATTTTAAATTTTTCAAAAACTTCTTGTTTTTACTTCAAAAGTGTCGCAAATATCATCAATAATGTCCTGTAATTTCATTTTCGGTATTTTCGCTTTAAGTCTTGCATATCGTTTTAAAACACATATTTTGACTCTAACACTAATCTCTTCCGGAGATTTAGTGACGTTTTGATTGTTATTTTCACTCATTTTTGTTGTTTAAATCATAGTTTTATAAGTTTCAAAATATTGTTTTTATTTTACATTCATTATGACATCATTTATGACTATTATCACTGAATTTCACATTATATCATTTGTATTATAGTACGAAAATTTAGTACTTTTTTAGATTACAAGTTATAATATAGATTACATGTTTATTTTAGTATCACATGAGGAGTCAATTAAAAACACGTTTTTCATATCAATGCTATACATTGCAATACATTGAAAAAAATGCAAAATTTGGCTGACTTTTAGTGCATGCGCTCTAGTGTTCAAAAGTAGTGCACGTTTTGATTCGTATGATAATATCAGTCGTATGATAATTCGTATGATAATTCGTAAATGTCAGTGGCAATACAGTTAATTCATATTGGTATAAAAATTTTAAAAAATTATTGTGCCATAAGTTTAAAGTGTTTCATTAAAATAAAATTATCCAGCCAATCAAATATATAATAATAAGTATATTAGATTAGAAATATTAGTTATTGGTTAAACATTTTTTACAAAATCGGCAGGTTTAAATTAACATGGAGGATATATTAACCACTATTGAATGGGTGAAACAAGTGTGGGAAAAGGTAAATGATCTAAGTATTTTCTAATTAATTAATCACAAATTTTAATAAACCAAATGTTGCGCCAATTATTCGGTTGACTAGGTCCCACCTGAATTAAAAGCAGCAGCTCCGCACGTGCCCATGTGCATCTACAATATCACCAATACTATAACCGAGTACACCAAAAAAATCAGGCCGCTTTTAAAACTATACGAGTTATTAAAGAATGACGTGCGCCTGGACCCCGATACGGCTAAAAGTATCGTGGACGAATGTGGAGAGTTTATTGGCCCAGATAAAGAGCACGTGACCCAGGTCCTCAAAACGCCCCTCAAAATTGACCCCAATGTTATCCAGACCCTGGAGGGCCACCTAGAAAAGTTAATCAGTCCGCTACTGTGGAACTCAGCACTGGCAAGCGGTCTGTGCCTTATAATGGAGACAATACAGTTGTGGTACTTTTGGAAGCAAATCAAGGAGGCCCGCAATATATGCGCCGAATCGGTGGCGACCCGGACACGAATATCAGCCATCTTTGATAGTGTACTGGCTGAGATTGCCAAACTGGACCAGTTTATGATCGATATGCCTGATCGCGAAGTGAGAGAGATAGCCATGATTGAGGTCACGGAACAGAATGATCAAATACGAGACATATTACACCAGGCACATATTGAAATTCGTATGTTTTATAAAATAACCTTATGCTGTAACGTGGTATTGTTTCTTATAGCATTGTTATCATTGAATTATACATTGTTTACATTCTACATCAATGAGTGTAATCAATTTATATTTTCTTAATTATCATTATTATTACTTATATTTATTACTTAATCAATTATAAAATGAGTTTGTAATAGATTACTATTACTGATTAATCATTAAACAATATTTTGAACAGTGATATCATTAGGCTATGGTAAAGAAAATCCCTGCTATATGGGTAACAATGAAGTTGTCCATCCGCTGGTTATTATTTTTCCGATAAACCACATTGATTGAATGTTATATAATTTAATAATTTGCCTTATTTGATATATTACAGAATCATTAAAATTCAAAGTGCAAAACGCCGAAATGCTGCTTGGTAAATCGCGTAGAGATGGAGTATTGTCTGCGGCTGTCTGTGGAGTCCAGGTCACATCCACTATCGTGAACCTGACCCTATTGGCTTCAATGGCAAATCCGTACCTGGTTGTATTTAATGCAGTTATTGCCGCGGGCAACGTGGCGGTTGCCGCCGTCAACGTGGGTTTTGCAATAACAACGGCTGAAGATATGAAGAGATTGCAGGACGAGTTGGAAGAGATCGGAAAACTCGACTATATTAGGGCAGCCCTCGTCCAGCGGTTCAATGATAGCGTTAAGGAGGTTAGGGCTCACTTGAAGGCTCAGGCTATGGCACATAGGAGCTAGACTATAGACCTACGATGCGCATACATTGTGATCCGGGTCACATTAACAGTGACTATTATAACATTAGTCACAATAGAGATTAATGTTAAAATATTAAAATTTTTGTCACTCATAGTGTGGCCCAAAA